GTATTATTTTGTTTCCAGCATTTGGCAAATGCCATTCTAGCTGTAGTTAGCAGATGTGTTAATATGTACTTAATTTTCTTTGTATATTTCCCTTTGATTATTCCCAGCAGAAAGATTTCGGGTTTGTATTTTATCTGTTCTCCTGTAATTTCTTGCACCCGTTTCCAAATTTTTGTCCAATATTTTTGTGTCTCCGGGCAGGTCTACCATATGTGATAATAAGTTCCCTTGTACTTTTTTACACTTCCAGCAGGTCAGCTTCATGTTTGGGATATAAGTCTTAAGTGTGATTGCTATATGAGATGAGCCACTGAGAAATTTGTTTTTTTATTCTTTCCTAATATTAACAAAACACTCAAGAGTCACGTTCACAAGATGGGTAACCCTATAAATGAACGGCATACGAGGCATAAACAAGAACCTACATATCATTCAACAGACACTAGAAAAAGGAAACAAGAAAACCCCAAACCACTTCTTCCCCAGCAATCTAATCCAGATGAGCAGAGATTTAACACCAAGATTAAGATTAGACCAATCAAGATGCAAATACACCAATCAAGGAACCGCAAAACAAACAGTAAACAAGACCCTAATCAAGGAACACCTTCCCCCCCCCACCAAAAAATACTCCCCCCCACACTAAGAGGGCAATCCATTTGAATATAAATAGCATAATGAACCCCACTCCCTTCTAGCACTGAGGATACTACCTAGTTGGGTCATGAAATGTTTGGAAGAAAATCACCCAAGTTCAGAGAGCACCAAAGGACCCCACAGTTCAACCCCGAGCTAGAAATATTCTCATCCTCTATTGGTTATCAATTTCATAGAGACCGGATGTAAACAATTACCTTGATGGGAATGCAGGCATGATCCTCCTCCAGATCCTTCAGGCAGATCTCCAGATGCAGTTCTCCGGCTCCGGCTATGATGTGCTCTCCAGATTCCTCAATGATACACTAACAATCAGAAAAAGGGGGTACAAAATTGAGATGCATAAATACCCTTCCTAACAACCCCCCCCCCCAAAAAAAAACTTCCCATCTCCAGGTAGATCCACCTCCCCACCTCACCTGCACCATGGGGTCAGACTTGGCCAATCTCTTCAAGCCTTCGACCAGTTTGGGCAGGTCAGCCGGGTTCTTGGCCTCCACAGCCACACGCACGACGGGGCTGACGCTGAACTTCATGACGCGCATGTTGTGGGCGTGTTCAAAGGTGGTGATGGTGCCTGTCTTGACCAGGTACTGGTCGACGCCAACCAGGCCGACGATGTTACCGCAAGGCACGTCTTCAATGGGCTCCACGTAGCGGCCCATCATGAGGATGGTTCTGGAAGGAGGGAAGGAAGGGCAGAAGAGACAGGGTGAGCCACTGCCCAGGTCCTGGAGAAAAAGAGCCCCCATTGAATGCTAGTATCCTGGCGTCCTTGGCCACCGCTGGGGAAAGCTAAGGACCAGCCATTTCTGAAATTTCCTACCTCTAAATACTGACCAATTCCCTATTTACCATGTAAAATTGGTTTCCTTCTTTCCCCCCCACAACCTTGCAAGTTGGGACAAGGCAAGAGTGACCGGCTCCCAGCTAGGGAGGAACTAGAACTCAGCATCTCCTGGTGATTGGTCTAGTCACCTGGCCAGCTTTCTTGGCTGAAGCACAACTAGAACTCGTCTCCAGGTGATTGGCCCAAAGTCATCCAGCATGCTTTCATGCCTACAGTGGGACTAGAACTCACTGTCTCCTGGTGATTGGCCCAAAGTCAACCGGCTGATTTTGATACCTTAAAACAGGGGTCTCCAACCTTGGCCATTTGAAGACTTGTGGACTTCAACTCCTAGAATTCCTCAGCCAGCAAAGCTGCCTGAGGAATTCTGGAAATTGAAGTCCACAAAGTCTTCAAGTGGCCAAGGTTGGAGACCCCTGCCTTAAAGGACTAGAACTCACTGTCCCCTGGTGACTGGCTGAAATCACCCAGCCAGCTTTCAGGCCTAAGATGGGACTAGAACTCACCATCTCCTAGCTTCTATATCCTACTGCCTTAACACTAGGCCAAACGCCTAACTCCCAAGTATGCAGATTTCACAGAGAAGCAAAGAAAGGAAGAATAAGTTTCCCCACCACTGCCGCCACCCCCCCCCAGCCCTTCGCCACTCCAAGGCTGACCTCTGGATTGGCTTCAGGTAGAGATCCTCTTTCTTTCCCGGGGTGTAGTTTGGTCCCATGATTCTGCACTTGAGCCCAGTGGACACAACTCCTGAGAACACCCGGCCAAAGGCGTAGAAACGGCCCTTGTCAGAGGTGGGTACCATCTTGGAGATGTACATCATCAGGGGTCCTTTGGGGTCACAATTCTTAATGCCTGGAGAAGGGGAGGGAGAGAGAAGATGAGGCGGATGCTCCTGTGGAGAAATTATCTTGGAGAAGGCGGGGGAAGGGGGGAGAAGGACCACCTACCCATGGCAGCCTCATCATCGGGGGGGCCTTCATAGAGCAGCTCACAACGGTATTTCTGAGCGGTAACTGGAGAAGGCAGGTGGATGGTGATCATTTGCAGCAAAGCTTCTCCTGCAGGGAGCCAGCGTCTCATCACAGCCTACCAGGGGAAACCATGGAACCAAAGGTTATGAGAGTGGGGGAAGACACCAGGCCCATCCACTGCCTACATCAAATAGGTTCAAGCCCCTCCCTGCAAGGGATCCTCAAACAAATCCAGACAGCCTTTTTTTGTTTTGTTCAGTTGCTACGTTTAACAGAATGACAAAGTTGGAAGGGACCTTGGAGGTCATCTAGTACAACCCCGCACCCAAGCAGGAGATCCTACACCATTTCTGACAGATGGCAGTCCAGTCTCTTCTTGAAAGCTTCCAG